GCGGGGGCCCCCGGGGCCTCCCCCACCCCCCCCCGCCGCCGGCGGGCACGGAGCGTGGAAGCGTTTGCCGAGGGCTTTCCTGGCGGGGCTGCACGCTCCTGTGCCCGGGGCTGCGCCGGATCTTCAGCGTTCACCTGCGTCCCGGGGCTGTGAGAGTCCTGGTGACCCCGAGCCTCTTCCACCTCTCTGGCCTTGTAGCAAGGGGAGCCCGTGACTAGCCCAGCAGTCGGGGCTGCCAGATTGGCTTGTTTTAACCTTGCTTTCTCCATCGCCACCTCTTGTTAAAGGCAGGATGAGCCCTAGGGCTGAGTGCTGCCTTCTGCACTTGCTGAAACAGTTTTCCTTTTCTTCCCAGGTGCTAAATTTGAACCATGACCAGGAACACGCGTTCCCAGCTTTCAAAGCTCTCTTGCCGAAGGCTGGAGTACAGTTGCACGCAACATTTCCAGACTTGTCTTTCCACAAATAATTTGTAAACCCTTTGTAATGGCCAACAAGAAAGACCCTCCTTTCTTCAATGAGGATAATGTGGGACCCTTTCACTACAAACTGCCTTTTTATGAAACTATGGAGCTCTTCATTGAAACGCTCACAGGAACCTGGTTTGAACTGCGAGTATCTCCCTTTGAAACAGTTATTTCTGTGAAAGCTAAAATTCAAAGATTGGAAGGTACAAGTCTTTCTCTCCTTGATGTAGTCAGAATGTTATCCTTTTACACACAAAGTTAGCATGCAAATAATCTTTGTTTAGTCATAGTCATACTAAAGTATTCAGAAGTCTGATAATTTTTTGGTTAATGAGAACTGATATTATGCTTAACTGTTTCTTTTCCTGTTTTTATGCATCTCTGCTGAGATAGTATAAAGGGTTCACTTTGACAGAGCTTTGCTGATACTATCTCATTTTTAAAGATTTGATTTACTATTCAGAGACTTCTTTGAGCAAGATGCTTTTGGTTAACCAGGGTCTTTTAAAGTAAGCTATAAACTGGAGTTTTAAGGTAAGAAGTGGACTCTTCAGTGAAGCATAAATGTGTAACTTTGGTAGCTGTCAGCTGTCTAACCCTGGCAGCACAAGTTCAGCCCTGGGTAAATATTTGGGGAGTTAGTTCACTTCCTGTGCTGGTAAAGGTAGGCTTACTTTTTCTAGTACCCAAGCTAGCTTTGGTATGCCTTCTGTTGTTGCAGTGTAACATAGTAACTACTAAGCTTGAGGCATCTGACTTTTTTTTTCTTTTTTTTTTTTTTTTAACTTATATTTTAGTGACTGGCTCTAGGAACCAATCTGGGCTTGTGCTGTAGTTTTTTCTTAGAATGATGGACTTGATGTCTGTGTTGAAACAAAACAGTATGAAAAGTATTCTTCCTTTCTAATAAGTGAAAAGGTCCTTCAGTATTTGAGCAAGTTTTTAAGTCTTAATTGTTACATAACACGGTAGTCCTAAAACCCTTAGGCCTAAGGTTCTTTCTGCCTCTTGGAAATCTGTGCGGGTGTAGCTGATTGATTGGCTAGTTGTGGGAGGGTGCTGGATTATATTTCAATAGAAGTCAGGAAGAGGTTTAATAGATGTTTTCCTCTTCATAGTTGAACATTATAATAGTGTGTGAGATTCAGTGTGTTAACAGCAGAATGTTAAGCAAACAGAGTGAATTAGGATGCATTAGAGTAGGGGTGGGCAAAATATGGCCCATGGAGGGGCTTTGTCCAGCCTACGATGGTTCTCTTGGTCCTGCCTGGCCGAGGCACCACCTAGCAGTGGTGCATCCTGGCATGCAGCGGGGCTGGACTGCCTTTCTAGGCAGCTCAAGCAGCAACAGCTCCCTCCAGCTGCTGTTGCCGCTGGCCCCAGCCCCACAGTAGTGATGAGGGTCAGCGTCTGCAGCCCCAACCCCACGTTTCCTATGCCTGCTCTGGGTTCACCCATCTGGCCTCAGCAGCAACGGTGCAGGACAAACTGCTGTTGAGCACGGGCCCCTCCCCCTCGCTGCTTCCGGCACTGCTGCCTCTGGACTTCCTAGTGCGGCAGTGGTGACAGGGCAGCCCAGAGGCAGCGGTGATGGAGGTACAGGGTAGCCCGGCACAGTGCCAAGAACTGCCTGGTGGCGGTGAAGAGGTGGGGCTGCTTTCCCTGCCACACCGACCAGCAGTTTCTGTCCAGCCGCTGCCTCTGCTTGGTCTAGACAGGCGAGTCCAGAGCTGGCACGGAGCATGCAGGGCTGGTTCTGCATGCACTGGTCCCTGCTGGTAACGTGTGGTTGGGGTCAGCGGTGGTGGCAGCCCCACTGCATGCCCAGGGGGTGGCAGGACATGCCACAGCTGGGCAGTGCAGAGCAGGTGCAGGGTGTGCTGGAGTTGCATGCTGTTGTCAGTATCAGGGAAGTGCTGCAGGATAAGCGGGCTCCAGGCTGTTGTGGGGTGGGGGTGGGTGCTTTCTGGCTCAGAGGGGTGCGCCTAGGGTCCCATGCATACCCCACCATACCTACAAACCCTACCCCACAACCACACTCTCCCCCACACAATCACACACCCCACAAACACAGCACCCCCCCACGTTCTTCCCCCCCCCCGTACACTCTCACCCGCACACTTTTGGGGGGGGAGCCTTGCTCTCTGCTACAGGCACACACCCCACCCCACGTGTGTGCACATGCATACACACACCCCTAGCCACCCTCCCCCTCCACACACCCCACAGCCCCCCACAAACTCCATACCCACTCACACACACACCCACACATCCCCACAAAACCCATACCCCCACACCCACCCACCCATACCCCCCACAATATACAAGAGTAAGACTGCATTTTGAGCTATTATAGAGTCACTTCTATACATAAACAGCCCAAATGCACACAAATCAGGACAAAAATATTTTTAAAAAATAAAATTAAAATATGTTTTTATGGATGTTTGATTTTTAGTATAATTTGGGTTTTGTTTTTCTGGTTTCAAGATGGCAAACCCCTTTTCCAAAAGGAGTATTTCCAGAGGCAAGGGGAAGGACTTTCAGTGGCAAAGGTCAGAGGTTAGGGGCAGGACTTCAAGTCCCAAGATGGTGACCAGGAGGTGGGGCCACCTTTGAGGCCCTTGACAGCTCACCAAAACTCTTTAAGCGGCCCTCCAGCTGAAATATTTGCCCACTCCTGGATTAGAGAGTGAGGAGTCCAGCTGCTTGGTGCACAAGAGCCACGTTAGAAGACCACTAGGGTCTCTGTTAGAGTGCTGTACAGGTGGTATCAAGTTGGTCAGCTTGTTTTGTGTGTGTGTGCGTTTGTGCACGAGTAAAGCCTTGATGAAACAACCCATTTAACTTGCAATACCAATGGGTTTTTGCAGTGTAATGCCTACTGAAACACAAGTTCAAATATTGAACCATCACTATGCCTAAATGGTACTGTGACTCCTGACCTCATAGTTTCATAGTAGCTAGGGTCAGGAGGGACCTGAACAGATCGTCTAGCCTGACCCCCTGCCACAGGCAGGGATGAATACTGGGGTTCACAA